TGGTGATGAAACAGTGAACAGTTTTTAGGTTCTGCTCCAGAAAAGTGCAATACCGGCAATTTCAGTCAAAGTGAAAATTGTTGCCTTAGAAACGCCAAAAATATTTTATTCAGAAATCCAAAACTACCAAAAGGCACCAGTAACCCACCAGACCTATCGATGTGCCACGTTTGGTGAAGAAATAGTGAACTGTTTTAAAGTTCTGCTCCGGAAAAGAGTACTACCACCAATTTCAGTCTAAGTCAAATTTGTTGCCATGGAAACGCAAAACATATTTATTCAGAAATCCAAATCTACCAAAAGGCAACAGTAGACCACCATATCTACCTATGTGCCAAGTTTGGTAAAGAAACATTTAACGATTTTAGAGTTCTGCTCCTGAAAAGAGTACTGCTACCAATTTTTATTTTTTTTTTTAGATATTTATCTAGCGCACATATCCACGCACTAGTGCATGCTCAAGGCGCTGGTAGTTTTTCCCTCGATCATTGGATGTCAATCTCAACGGCACATCTTATTATTAATCTCAACTCCCTGGGGATCATACAGCTCTTGCAGCCACTAGGCGCATCGAGTTATTGCCGCTTTCCCATCCGTACGAGGTGTACATTTTCAGTGTAAGTCAAACTTGTTGCCATGGAAACGCAAAAAATATTATATTCAGAAATCAAAAACTACTAAAGTTTGGGCAAGAAACATATAACGGTTTTAGAGTTCTGCTCCAGAAAAGAGTACTACCACCAATTTCAGTCTAAGTCAAACTTGTTGCCATGGAAACGCAAAAAATATTATATTCAGAAATCCAAAACTACCAAAAGGCACCAATAGACCACCAGATCTATCTATGTGCCAAGTTTGGTGAAGAAATATACAACGGTTTTAGAGTTCTGCTCCGGAAAAGACAAATGTGCATAAACGCACGGACACACGCACGGACGGACGGAGTGCATTTTAATACCCCCAGCAAAACGCGCGTTGGGGGGATAACAAGGATGTCAGCCAGGATTTCAAGAAGCCTTTTGTAAAGGTGCGATATATTTTTAATGTGACGGAGGTTAACATTTTCTGTGTTATTGCATGATACACTATTTTCCACTGGTCGCTTTGATAAGGCGACCTTGGTCAATATATCACAAAAGGATAGCCTGCCAGGTACAATATAGGACAAACGTTGTGGATAACAACTTCCTTATTTGGTGAGTGCGACGTTTCGATAGAGATCCTTGTACCGGCGTCAAGCAGAAATCATACATGAAGAAAACGAATGTACCAATGTTCCATGTATCTCCTCCTCTTCATGTATCATTCCTACTTGACAGTCTACCAGATTTTTAATCGTAGTATTTTTGTCATTTTAATGCATGGCTAAATCTCAGCATAAACGCCATTGGCTGAAGGGATGGTGTAAATTCAGCTAGTGTCCATGCAGGTAGCGAAGGTACTGTAAGTCCCCATGGACACTAGTATGGTGATCTACTTCAGGTGTTGGCGATCTACAGCCCGTGTTTTATATTGTATTGTCTTCTTCAATTAAAATCTTCTAGATTTACATTCCAGTTTTATATTCATATCTGTGATAATCTAGAATTTTTACTGTCCATCGTCGACAGATTTTACTCTTCACAATGTTTTCATTTTTATTGTATTAATTGTTTTCGTCACGATATGGCTGAGATATTGCAGATGCGACAAATTGTTACAATACTTCATCGTTTATTCGAAAAGATACACTGATTACTCGCCGTCATATTAATAGCAGAATTTGTATTATTATTATAATAGGATATTTATATAGCGCACATATCCAGGCAACTGGTGCATGCTCAAGGCGCTGGTATTTTTCCCTCGATCATTAGATGTCAATCTCAACGGCACATCGTATTTTATCAATCTCAACTCACTGGGGAGTATACAATGTTCTTTCCTTAGTTGTCACTGGTCAATACGTTGAAATGGCAACTGTCGTTTACTTTGACCGTACTTTGTACTTATAGCGCTTAAAACCCAACAGAGTAGTTTACATTCTTTGAGAAAAGAACCGATATGAGTGGGCGAGTGAGTTAACATTTGAAGTCACATTGGCAGTATTTCAGCCATATCGTGACTTAATCAATTCATAGGTAATCATTTATGATTATTAAAAATTAAACCTGTCAACGAAGGACAGTAAAATTACTAGAATATCACAGATATAAATGTAAAACGAGTAATTAAATCTAAAACATTTAAGCTATAGTGGACAACGAAGGACAATAAAATCCCTAGACCATCACAGATATGAATTTAAATCTAGTAATTAACTCTATAACAGTTTAGTTATAAATGACTGAAGGTAAATCACCATACTAGGGACCGCATGGACCCTGGATGGATTTACATCATCCCTTCAGCCGTTGGTGATTGCACCAGACATTTAAGGAACATATATACTACGATTAAAACCACGTAGTATGAAACAATGCTTCGAATGAAAGAGGATTTACATACCCTCTCCGGGGGACAATCATTTTGAAAGCATTGCCAGTAACTGTCAAAGGTATCTATTCGATCTAACAAATTAAAATTCATTACCAATTACAAGAAAATTCATTTACTAATTACAATACATTTACTAATCACAGTACATATGCTCCCTGAGAAGCGATATGAACTCATTTACTCACCACATAACTTATAACTTTCCAGATATCATAAGGTCAGTGCGGAATACCCTCGCTCTCGTGGGTACAATTCGTAGCGATGTATGGCTGTATTTACTCCAATAAAATGTCAAAATGTGACTTGTCCATACTTCAGTGACCTTGGATCAAACTCTTCAAGAAGCGAGGTATACGCTCCAGCCGTGTTTCTCCTATAAATCCAGTTACTGACCCACGCCGAGCTGGGCTTATCTTCCTCTTTTTGGTGACTGTATGTTTACATGAGTCATGCGTGAGCATCTCACGAGATACGAGCTGTATGCAACTTAAAAACTACACAAACAAGTCGTTACGACCTTTTTGTTACACGTCGTATGCTACAAGCCGTTACCACAAGTCAAAAGGCACCATTATGTACCATTATAAACTCTTATGTTATTCAGGTCAGCGGTTTGAAACATATGGATAAGATCAAGAACATGGACATTGCTTTGGAAAGTGCTCTTTCAGTTATTTGGAAGTTTAAACTCTCTACTTCTGTCAGTATTGATGATGTCCTTTCCAACTACAACTGTCATGGATATCAAACGTCATATGATTATGTATTAACAATAAAGCAAGTTCAAGTTTTGAAAGCATTTCTATAAAATCAATTTGTCTCATTCATGTACATAATGTAATGCCAATTTGTTTATCTTTATGATGTCTCAAGCAGTTTGCATACATGTCACACAAATTAACCTAAAAGTATACCTGTCACACAATTAACCTAAAAGTATACCTGTGACAAAAAGTCCAGTTCATGTGAATTTTTATGATACCCTTTTCCGAAAAGTTCTTACACTATTCATGGCCTTTGACGTAAAGCTTGTCATATTCATAATCATCCTGATACCTGATCATTTTGATTGTAACAGATTATGGTGGAAATACGGATATATGTTCAAATGTGTTCCTCATTTAAATCAGATAATAGTCATTCCAATTAATTAATTATCATGAATGTGACTGAATTTATACATTGTTTATCTTTCATTTTTCCCCTTATTAATCACGTTCACCCATGAGGGTAGTCTGTGGCGTTAGTAGGTGCAGCAGTGCCGACTGTGGTGATGCTGGGAAGGAGTGGTGGGGTAGCCAAGTGGTTTAAGCGTTAGCTCATCACACCGAAGTCCCTGGTTCGATTTCCCACATGGGTACAATATGTGAAGCTCATGTCTGGTGTCCCCCGCCGTGATATTGCTAAATGCGGCGTAAAACCATACCCACTAACTCGTTATGGGAAATATTAGGACACCTATTTGCACCAAAAGAACTGAATCTGAATCAAATTACAAAAATATGTGTCGTCATTCCATTACTCATCTTACAACGTCATATTCAAAGATATACTCTCTTTGTGAAAAATGTCACAATACAACGACGACCGTAGATGGGTGAGCTTCTTGTCAGGCAAGTTGATATGCATGCGCTCAAGTGGAAGATATATACCTCGTGTATATGATTATGATATCGGACCCTGAAATATAATGTTAACATTGATGCATGCATGGTTTTAATACATAACATAAGCGAAATATTCACAATATTTGGATGCAATGTCTTCATCTGATACTTGAGATGGGACAGGGTCGCCCTAGGCACTCTCTGTCCGGGGTGGGTTTGTCAGGTTTGCATGGATCCCAGTTTCACCTATGGTCAGCACAGTACATGTGAAGGAGCGTGTAAAGTAGAAAGTTTGTAGCCTTAAATATTCTCCAAGACACTTCTCAACAGCTGATGAGATTAAGGCTGTGTGGGGTGGAAGGCACGGCTCATGAATAAGAAACACACCTAAGATGGGAAAATTCATCACAACAATACAAGACGTAAAGAACAATGACTAAATTATTGCTGAAAAATATTTATAAGCTTTTGAACAGCGTTAAGGGGCTGGTCCTTTAATACAGGGAGGTCTGGGTGGATGTCACAGAAAAGTGTTATTTACATTTAGTGGGTTAGGTTTCTTAAAGTGGGTAAAGAAAAATATCATATAGTCTTAAGACTATTGTCAGCTGTCTCCCTCTTTGGAAATAGCCCACCAGTCTCCTTAACCAACCTTACAGACTCATTATGAAATAGTACGACCTTGCAGGGGCAGCGTTTATGACAAATCATATACTACGTCAGACACTTGATAAACTCAAACCCAGGAGGCACAAACCGTATTTCTATTTACGTATAACAATACAACGGATCTCATATAACAATGTGATGCTTAATATAGTAGATCAGAGACACCTTGTTTACGGGCGTAACTTGCGGACCATGTGCAAGGTTACCTACAAACCATGAAGTAATATCAACTTTCACAAATTCCACTTATTACCAGTTGTAGCCTCTTTACAACAGTCGATCTTGTGCTTCAGCGTCTTGGTCGTATGCAGTAAGACACAGGTGAGTATTATATGGTTTTACATGCGGATCAAACATATGCAATTTAATAATCATGATTTGCTCTACATTTGCTCAACGGCACTGCAATTATTGCACAGCTATATCTAGTTGGAACAATTACGACGTTAGGGTAGTTGTGACATGAGTCCATTTTAGGTTGCAATGCACAGCGAACTGTGTTCATATGGAGCGATATTTGAGGATACTTGTTTCGTTATTGTACTGAATATATAACTCTGGCTTTCGCATGATGATCATGGACTTATCTATAAGTCCAGACCAATTTTATTTCTACTGTTTTACGGGTTTTTGTCCTCTGAAAACCTAAAGGCAGGAGAGAGAAAAAGTCACAGTAATATTCCTTTTAAATACTAAAAGTATTTTACTTTTGGGAATTTATGAAGCGTATATGGGGCAAAAGCAAAAACAATCTAAAAATCGTTTTCTTGTAAGTTTACATTTTTTGACAATACAAACATTAGGATTTTATTTTTTGAGCCGGGAAAATTCTTTTTTTTATCTTATTCTTGAAAGGATACGACCGGCGGATCTGTAAAACAAGAAATAAAATTGGTCTGGCCTAAACATTTAAAAATCATCGCTTCAGTGATTCAGAGTGACAATGAAACTCTCCACAAGGGATGATTCCACCTTTGTCATAATCAACGTTCCTTTCATGTTGAGCAACATTCCAACAGCTCCAACGTTTGGTGTTTACATTTCATAACTTTTGAGGTACGATTAAGTATGCGCTTTTTACCAGTATTTCAAAGCGCGTCATACTTCTCTTGCTACCAATCAACGAGAGTGTCCCAGTGCATTTGTTATACGAATCACCATGGTCGAGAAATGACTGGTATGTAACTGTCTGTGTGCTGCTCTAAACATCAACATACAGGTCAACAGCAGCACATCACGGTTGTGGTCAGGTGCCAGTTGTATCTTGTTACTGTTGTAAGCCAGGGAATAGTTTCCCCGATATATATCGTCTTCATTGCACAGATAATTAAATAGTGAACCTGTTAATTGACTTTCATATAAATCATATCAATGAGAGTTTATGAAATACTGTGAGTAAAATCAACTGTCATTTATTGAGCCCGAGCCCATGGTCCCTAGTATGGTGCTCTACCTTCAGTTGTTGGCGATATATAGCTCGTTTTTTTATATTGTACTGTCTTTCATAATTAAGATATTTTAGATTTTCATACTACTTTTACAATTATATCTGTGCTATTCTAGTTTTTTCTACTGTCCTTCACCGACATTTTTTTTATAATTTACCATGATATATTACGCATTTATAACTTGTTTTAGTCACGATATGGTTGAAATATTGCCGATGTGACTCTAAATGTTAACTCACTCACTCACTATTGAGCCCGCGCGTTAACATATTCTGCAAATTAGAGTTTCATCTTCAACTGCAACATCTAGCTCACAAGGAGACGATACAAAAACTGAAGTTATTTGAACTATAGGTATTCAAGGCTTGCGTGATATGTTGTCTAGTCCCTCACTGCGTCGACACTTGACACATTCCTTTGCCGTTTGAAGTATGTAAAACCTTGCATGTCATAAGAGCGTGTTTATTTATACCTTGTGGGTAGAAATTCGATCCTGCTGATTGTGTATGGTGTCGCTAGTTGCACTGGCGAAATTGTTGTTCAAGGAACAGGGCACTGGCGAAATTTTTGTTTAAGGAACATGGCACTGGCGAAATTGTTGTTTAAGGAACAGGGCACTGGCGAAATTGTTGTTTAAGGAACAGCGCACTGGCGAAATTGTTGTTTAAGGAACAGGGCACTGGCGAAATTGCTGTTTAAGGAACAGGGCACTGGCGAAATTGCTGTTTAAGGAACAAGCCACTAGCGAAATTGTTGTTGAAGGAAAATGGCACTAGCGAAATTGTTGTTGAAGGAACATGGCACAGGCGAAATTGTTGTTTAAGGAACAGGGCACTGGCGAAATTGTTGCTTAAGGAACAGGGCACTGGCGAAATTGTTCTTTAAGGAACATGGCACTGGCGAAATTGTTGTTTAAGGAACATGGCACTAGCAAAATTGTTGTTGAAGGAACGGGGCACTGGCGAATTGTTGATAAGTAAACATGGCACTGGCGAAATTGTTGTTTAAGGAACAGGGCACTAGCGAAATTGTTGTTGAGGGAACATGGCACAGGCGAAATTGTTGTTTAAAGAACAGGGCACTGGCGAACTTGTTGCTTAAGGAACAGGGCACTGGTGAAATTGTTCTTTAAGGAACATGGCACTGGCGAAATTGTTGTTTAGTAAACATGGCACTGGCGAAACTTTGTTTAAGGAACAGGGCACTGGCGAAATTGTTGTTGACGCAAGTATGCGAGTGAGTTAAAGTCACATCGGTCGTATTTCAACCATATTGTGACTAACGTGGTGATATTGAATATACTTATTTTTTGTATTTTGGAGACGTTATGGAACTTTTATCCAGAGTTAGTCTGATGGTTTCATTACATTCTTCGTTGAAATGAATGTTTGATCATGAACCGATTTGGTGTGATTGTGATTCTTCGGTATCATTTTGACCCAAAGAGACTGCAGACGATGTCGTATTGGCCATTCCAAATATACTCACGAATACCTATTAAAATGTGAGGGTCCTCCGTGTTGCATCCCTTGTGATGAGAGAATCACGGTCTAGCATATCCAGCTTGACTGCTCTGATGTTCCCATCACAAGGGATAGCTATTTTACATCATCATCAATGAAGGGTATTTTAACTAATATTTTTTCGCATTTAATTATTGAAATTTTAAGGGAAATTAAGTTAGTTAATATATTTTCATGTGCATAGAGGCTTCATATACATTGGTAGTGCCTATAAATGACTTCGAATTTTAGTGTCTGTACCCTCGAGTGGGGTTGTAGTAACGTAACATTATTGTCCCCTAAGATGGTACCGTATCGTCAGTACCACATCATTTGATGTATCTACATGCATTGCAGGCTTATAAATGCATTATACCTGATATCTTAAATTTTGGTTAGACTCAGAAATTGTCGCTAGTGACTGAAGGAATGGCATGTAGCAAAAGCACCGTATGTCCCCGTTCACTGGATTTTCTTCATATTTGACACCATGCTTCCTCTAGCAAATGCGCAGGGCCTAGTCGATTTTGGTGACCTCCACGGAATTCTCAAGGTTACAGCCACACTTTGAAGAGTTCAGCATGTTAGCCTGCATGTTAAGCTTGTCGGCGAGATACCCCAAGAACCATTCACTAGATTTTCTTCATATTTCACACTAAACTTCATATGGGGAAGGCGCAAGGCCTAGTTGATTTGGGTGACCTTCACGAAATGTTCAAGGTTACAGCGACAATTTAAAGATTTCAGGTTGTTTACCTGCATGTTCAGCGTGTCAGCATTATATCTCAAGGACTATTTACTGGCTTTTCAACATTTTTATTTGACACCATTATTTATTTCATCTTTATTTGACACCAGGTTTCATATAGGAAAGGTGCAGTGCCCAGTCGATCTTGGTGACTTTCACGTAATTATCAAGGTCACAGCGACACTTTCAGTATGTTAAGCTTCGCAGCAAGATAATTATCTCAAGAACGGTTCACTGGATTTTCTTCATAGATTTTCAAGACTTCTCAAGCAATTTCTTTATTACTATTTTTTGCATATTTCATACACCATGACATTCATGTCAAGGTCAAAGTGAGTCTTGAAAATATTTGTGTGTTTGAACAGCTACAGAGCAAGATATCAAGAGAGGTTGATTGGTCATGCTTTTGTTGACATTTAACTTCATCTGAAACTGCGACCTTAACTTTCATTACTTTTTAAGTTTTAAGTTTGATTTGATCATTTGCGGCGGGGGATTATGTCGCCTTAGTGACAACTGCTCGTTTTGTAATGTACGTGGGCCTGAGGCCTTGTTACGAAATAAACCTGATTGATTAAATAAAACTGATTGATTAAACCATGTAAAGGTAACCTGCAATTCAGGATGTAATATGAACTTTAGCGAAATGTTAAAAGAGTGTTATGCTACCTAGTGCGAAGTGGTCTCCTCCCAACAATTTTCTGGCTACTTGGAGAGGTATTTGTAGATATCTGACATGTTACTCTATTTATGCCTCCATCTTCCTTGTAATACACTTGGAAACATCTGAATATGTTTAGTAAATCATTGCTTCGAACATTTGAAGACATCAGTGTGTTGATAGCTAATGACGAGAGTGTATCTCAGATTTCCTGTTAGTACCTTTAAACTGATTACTTGTGAACCAGTTCATAGCTATATAATCAGTGAATATTCCATGACAAATATTGTTTATATTCCGACGTGAACGTTTGTTTCGTTGCAGGTTCCATCTCCAGGGAATATAGAGATCAAATCAAAGACACAATGGAGTGGTTTTTAAGCACAGTGTTGTTTTTCTCCATCACTGGGACACTCACTGGTAGGACATTTTATGGGGGGTTATTGGTATGCTACCATTAATATAAACAATGCGTCTGGTACTATGTTCCATGTTGTTCATGACATCTTTTATAGAGCAGTTCTGTCTGTCACCGTATCATATATGATTAGCTGGGACTAATTATTAAGTGGCAATGAACAAAATGTCAGCCAATGAGAGGTGAAACATATTCTTTCCTGACTGTTATATAAATTATAAAAGTAGATATCAATGCAAAGATAAATATACTGGACAAAAATAGTTTGGGATATACGTAACTTTTGAAATTATGAATAAAGATTATTCATTCATTGACACACTGATAAAATATCAATCTTAAAAATACCAATATCGCTAACTTATTTTGTCCAGTATACATGAAATCAGTTTCTTATTTCTTCATCTCATCAGATGCTTGGTGTCACTGTAACACTGCAGCTGCCTGTGCCGTGTTCCCCTCTACCCCCTGTAGCCAGGTCGGTGATCCAGACAGATGTCAGAAAGTATGGTTCGGTACCTACTGCCAGGAACGTGAGTATTGGGTCATTTTGCATTTGGTGTAGCGATGTGTAAGATGATCGAACTCGTTCCCATTTAAATTAAACAGTTTTCAATCACTGAAGAAATCAAACTCTACAGGAGTTGCCAAAGTGTCTTTTAGAGTGTACCTGCACCTATATATAAGTAATGACAAAACACAGTTTTTTTGTGTCACATGTTACCCTCACATAGATACGCAAACAAAGTACTGACAACACTTAGTCAATTTGATCAAAGCATGCATATAGTTCATGTCCATGTAAAAAGTAAGTGAGTTACGTGAGTGAGTGAGTTTAGACTTTAAGTCACATCGGCAATATGTCAGCCATATCGTGACTATATAAAACAAACTTTATGGATAACAACTTCTTTTTATTCGTGAGTGCAACGGTTCGATACAGATTCTTGTACCGTTGTCGAGCATAATGGAACATAAAGAAGGGGGAAGTATATATATATCCAGTATAATGTAACAAAGAAAACAACATAATTAACATAATTGGCTAGGCAGAAACCTGATAAAGCCAGAGTTTAGTTAAGGGATTGGTCCTTTATTACAAGAAGGCTCGTTTGGATGTCAGCTGTATTTAGGAAGACGTGTTCCTTAGTTATTGGCGATCTATAGCCCATTTTTCATCTTGTTTTGCCCCAAATAGTCATATAATTTTTATAAGTTAAATGTTAGTTTTAATATTGTGATATTGTAGTTATTTTACTGTCCTTTGTTATTATTAATAATGACTAAATCTAAGCACAGTCGCCAGCGGCTGAAGGGATGGTGTAAATCCAGCAAAGGGTCCATGAAGGTAGCAAAGTAATGTACGTCCCCTTGGTTCCTAGATTGGTGACTTTCAGTTGTTTGCGATCTTCTTCTTTCATTACAATGTTTTACTTTCACATGTAGTTTTATACTCATATCTGTGATACAGGTTTTTTACTGTCCATCGTAGACCGGTTTCACTCTTTAAAATGTTTTCATTATTTATCGTATAAATTGTTTTTGTCACGATATGGCTGAGATATTGCCGATGTGACGTTGAACATTTTCGCACTCACACCACTATTGTCTCATAAGTATGACGTTGTACCTCGTTTCACTTTCTCCAGGAAATATTGCCTCAGGAAGAACTGCCACACAGAGCAGTACATACACTGAAACCAGCGTCAATACAGGGAATACAGCACACAGTTACGACGCCAGGTACGGCGTGGATGGCAGAACCACCACCGACTTCTATAGTAAACCATTCACATGTACACATACAAAGAATGGAGATCAACATCCAGCATGGACTGTGGACCTGACCACCGCTTTCAAGATCCAATACATCAAGCTGTATCTACCTCAGAACTGTGAGCATAAGTATCAATATATATTTTTTCTGTTTCCAATGATAAATACATCATGTGCAATTACACATAACCAAATAATTAACAAAACATAATGTTGGTGTACGTCTCTTGAACTGCTTAATGAAAACTACGTAAGGAATGTTGGTCCTCTTGGTTGTCCTCTGCCATGATCATCTGGACAATATTTGTTGTCGTTTTGGTCTTATGTTCGTGCATGCCATATATTGCTGTACCTTTTCACATCGATCGTCATTAATCGATCTAGTGCTTTGTCAATGTGATGTCTGACCTTCAAAGACTGTACATTTTCCTTTTGAAATACAGCCCTGGAACGAAACAAGGGCATGAAGATATATGTTGGTGGACAGCTGTGCTTCCAGTGGTCAACGGACGCCTACCCGCCTGCTATAGCTGATGTCAAATGTCAACAAGCACTGACAGGAAACAACCTGACTATACAGACAAGCGATTATCTCGCGCTGTGCGAGGTGCAGATATTTGGTAGGTTAAAATACACCTTTGAACATGTGAGTAAAATATTTCAACTTTGCATTGAAAAGTAATTTATTTAAATCTTATAAACTTAAAGTGGTACGTAAGTCCCGAAATATTCACAGGAAATTTATATTTACCAGCTGTTTTAAATGTAGTATTTGTGTCATTTTAATCTAGGCTAAATTTGACTTCAATCGCCAGCAGCTGATATAAATCCAGTTAGGGTCCATGCAGGTAGCAAAAGAACTGTAAGTCCCCATGGACCCTAGTATGGTGATCTACCTTCTGTTGTTGGCAATCTATAGCCTGTTTTTATATTGTATTGTCCAAATAATTATATTAATTTTAACTTTCCACGCTAGTTTTAATTCTAATTGTGTTATTCTTGTTGTTTTACTGTCCTTCGATGACAGTTTTTTACGTTATACATTTATTGATTTGAATATGGATATCCACTGTCCTCGTCACAATATGGCTGCAATATTGCTGATGTGACGTTCAATTTTAACTCGCTCATAAACTTAAAGTCACATCGGCAGTATTTCAGCCATATCGTGACTAAGAAAGTTGTAAATATATAAATGAATAAAACAAATGTAGATAATATACTTACCTGTCTGCAAAGGACAGTAAAATAACTCGAATGACACAGTTACAACGGTAAAACTAATATGAAAATCTAAAACATCTTAACTATGAAAGACAATAAATCAAACAAAAAACAGGCTGTAGATTGCCAACAACTGAAGGTAGTTCACCATACTAGGAACCATGGGCACTTACAGTACATATGCTTCCTGCATGGACCCAAGCTGGATTTACACCATCCCTTCACCTGTCAGCAATTTAGACAAATCTAGTCATACATTAAAAGAACACGTATTCTACAGTTAAGACGGTGGTAAGTTTAAATTTACTTTAAATGTTTTGGGACTATACGTACCCCGACAGGGGGAAAATAATGTTACAATACTTCACCCTCCTGTGAGGATACAACCACTCAAAACCTCAGCTGCTCAAATATACTTATTTATCTATTTACAAACCATGGTAATTTAGTTTCTAATAATTCTATTTCTTTAAAAAAATGAATCATTAAATGGTAATTAACGATTAAAAGATCCTTCACTATTTTACCATTAAAATATTCTTGTGATTGGAAATATCAATATAGACAAGCAGGACATGCAAATCACATAATGCTGCTTTATGTTGAGGGACAATCGATTTTGGCGTATTTGCAGAGACAATCCTATATGGGTTGTGGCATCAGTTCACATAGAAACATGACTAGAAATAATTTCTTGAAATGAAACAGTAGAGAGGATAGATACACTCACATTCACAGGTTGTTTTCCCGTCATATCTATATTGTTTTGTTGTTTACTTTTGTTGGTCAGAAGAAATGATAGCAACCCATGTTGTTGTTAATCGTTAGTCATTGATTATGATTAAATTACACGTTGCTTATGTGTCCTGCATGTTCGTTTTCAGTTTGCAGTGACGGCTGGTTTAGTGAGGACTGTGACAAACAGTGTCACTGTTCAACTAAACACAGAAATATGCGACAAGTTCACTGGACAGTGTCTGAGTGGATGTGCTCCAGGATACATGGGTCCAGACTGCCAAACAGGTACAGATTTTAACCTCACACAGACGGAATTCCGTAATGTATGAAATGCTGAAATTTGTTGTGTATACTTCACATGCTAGCGGTAAATTCCCCAAATGTGAGTCTGTAATTTACGATTAAAAATATTGGGAAATATCTCGGAGTCAATCAATGTTGATATGATAATAATGTATGTTTTGAGAGTGCATCAGAGTTGTATGTATGACGTAGAAATTTGCATATTATGATTTTCAGAAATTTCAATTGTACCCATGTGGGGATTCGAACCGGGTCTTCAGCGTGAAACCGCCTTAGAAACAAAACAAACACTAACGATGGTGGGATGCAGTTTGATGTATGACGTCAAATTTAATGTTTGGAATTATTTATCGACCTTCTTGAAAACCGTCAAACTCAAAACCGCCTATCGACCTTCTTGGAGACCGTCAAACTCAAGAATGCGTTGTGTTTAGCGTGGTGATAAAGAGAAATGGTGGTGCGTTCATAAGATGTCTGTCCTTGAAAAGTTTCTTAACGCTTATACTTCCCATCCAAATTGAACGTTCAGGTTCCACTACTATTTTCAAGAGTATATGTTACCTTCGCAAAAAAGGCAAGGGAAGGTGTGCATTATGAAGGTTTGATAACTCGGCTTTATTGTCGACAATGTCACAATCTTTAACCATATTATTATCCCCTTGAAAATGTAAAGCAGTGTCAATCTGCCTTTCAAAAGCATCCTTTGAATTTACAAACACTTTCAATACTTTTGCCAGCTCAAAACCGTTTTTCTACCTTCAGTTGCGATCTGATGCCTGTTCTTATCTTGTATTGTCCTAATAGTGCTATTAGTTTTAACCTTCCACACTAGTTTTAAATCTAATTGTGATATTCTAGTTGTTTTACTGTCCTTCGATGACAGGTTTCATAATATACACATATTCCATTTCAATGTAAAGTGTTCTCGTCACGATATGGCTGAAATATTACCTCACTCACTCACTCAAAACCGTTTTGATAAACATTAGTGAAAGTGTCAGTTGTGTTTTTAATATTTTACGGACGCTTCACTCGAATCTTGTATTCAAGGATGTCAGACAGAGTTACCTCCTTGACAGGTGGCTTGTGTATAGTGAGCAGGAATAAAAGATGTCGGCATGAAATTGCTAGTTATTACTCATTCCCTGGAGTTAGTAATACCACACTGTGAAAAGGAGCGTCGTTTTTCCTCCGCTATCAGTCGTAAACGTGACCAACACATGCAAACACTATTTCAAATGTTTTGTTTGTTGTTTAACGCCACACTCCAGCTGCTCCCCAGATGGAGATAGTTTCTGAGTTTCACCAGCCAGTTGCCCCATCCCCTGATTCGCAAATAGACGTAGTTGCCGATGTTCTGCAACCCATAGCATCTCCCCTGTACCCCAGATGGACATATTGACTGAGGTCCTGAAGCACAGTCAATCCATCAATCATCTGTTCTGCCAGGCTCCAACTGGGTTGTTGAAGCAATGCTTTGGAACTCTCGCTGCTTCTTTCCGGCCTGGATGTCTCTGTTTCCTCCTGCAACATGTTCTACATCTTCAAGCTGCGCAAGTTATCCCCAGCCTCCTGGTACCACGTTGTGCTGCTCATCTTCCTCATCCACTATACCATTGGGGAGATTAGGATAACGAATCCTCATCAAGTTCTGCAGGCAGACACAGCATTCAGTGATGTCCTTTACTACGGAAGGCCTTGGCAGCATGGTGGTGAGGAGGATTTACCATCTCTGGCCCATGATTCCTAATGCATTTTCCACTACCCGTCGGCTCCTGCTGATTCTGTACTTTTAGATTCTCTCGTCTCTCTGGAGAGTCCTATGTCCATACGGCTTTTTCAAGAAGGTCCTTATTCCAAAGGCATCATCTTCCAGAATAAAGCATGGCATACGCTCGTCATCTTGGGGTAAGGTGAACGGATCAGGAGATCCTATGCTCCCGTCTTCAAGAAAATCCTTGAGATCGTTGAAGATCTGAGCATCAAACATACTTCCGTAAGCACAAACGTCCAACCACAGTAACTTGTAATTTTCATCCAGATGGCCATGAGGACCACAGAGAAGAAAGCCTTGTATTTGTGGTATAATGAGCAGTTTCCTAATGGCCACATGTTTGCCATCTAAAGCTCCTAGGGCATGAGGAATATTCCATCTGTTTCTGAATACCTCTTCAATGGGTGCCCATTCTTCTGGAGTGGTAGGGCAGATGATAACCTCATCCTTATATTCCTCCACAACGGCCTTACATACTTCTGGGATGATCAGGGTGATTGTGTCCCTTACCACAGGGAGGCTGTACATGATTGTGGGGTACCTATCACCTGAAACCAGGGACCTCAATGTGACGGGCTAGCTTCAAGCCTTGAGGTAGGGCCTTTCTCATATATGTATCCTGCTTCTGTATTCTTGGTCCTACTCTCTCCACCAGCTCATCAAACATGGCAGGCTCCATCCAAAGGTAGCCGAATAAAGACTGCGTTTCCTCAATCAGTCTTGTGTAAAGTCCATACAGCCTCCTCCTTTCCTCTGTCAGTCATGGTCTTGTCTGGAATCTCCTAGGTCTTCTCCTGTTTCTTCTCCTGGTCTCCCCCACATCACTTTCAATCAGGTGTTGGTGGAGGACACCAATCTGTAGCAACGCAACATGGTCCTGGGGGTCCATACTGTATATGAGTTGAGCAGAGACTGATGAATTGTCCAGATTCAACAGGTTTTTTTATATCCCGTCGTGGAACATTTCGGCAGCATTCTTGGTGCATGTCGGACATTCGAGTTACATTCTAAGTGCATTTGAAGGATATGTGATATATTCGAGCTCTGCATTCTGTTTTAATTCTTTAACATTCGAAGGATATTTGATATATTCGAGCTCTGCATTCTGTTTTAATTCTTTAACATTCATTCCTCATTCGGGGGTCATTCCAAGTACAGCGTTTGTGGTACTTTCCAACTGAAATTCGAGTGCTATTCACGCAGCAATCGAACCGGACTCGTACGGCAGTCGACATTCATTCTAATTATTCCTACTGTATTCCGATTCATTCGAGCTGCATTCATGATCGAGTACATTTTGGAATGTGTAAGAATCATTCGAGGCGGGTTCGAAGTGCGTTCTAAGTATTCCAACAGCATTCTTACAAAGTTTGTAAAAAATGTTTACTTTGAGATTCTCTCCCTGAATGCGATTCGAATGTTGGAGATATTTTTTTTCTGGCTGATTCTCCTTGATTCCTGTCAATTCGAAATAAGTGTGAAAGAGCCTTACAGTTGCTCATTTAACCATGGACACTTTTCAAAAGCAAATCTACATGAGGGTATGAAGATAGTTGCTACCTACAACTGAACATTTCCCATGTTTCATATCATGGTCAGCGCCATTAATGTGTACAGCGTGTCAGGATGAACGGTATGGTATGAACTGCGCCTCCCAATGTGGAAACTGCCTTAATGATCATGTGTGACTGGAATGTGCCCTAAAGGATGTGCAGAAGGATTGATGAATGACGCAACTGTGCCTGAATGTAGCACTGTATTCTTATACTTATATATTTATGCACCATCTTAATGTGGAAAATTCCATACAATTATTTAATGTACGACATGACTTTCTTTGTTTCTTGATCATTAATTCCCAACTCGTGATTGGGCGGTAATTGTGTGTGTGTGTGTGTGTGTGTGTGTGTGTGTTTCTTTGTTTGATAATTCATATACTGTTGGTCATCTGCATATTGTTAACACTTGCGTCGTTGAAATAGAGGAAGATTAAGTATTCTTCTTGTATATCCTTTCAAATAAAAGTGACATCAAAATACATACTTCGTTATACCAACAGCATGTCCAGATGATTACTATGGTCTCAACTGTGGCTTTGAGTGTGGCAAATGTGTTGATGGTGATGCTTGCATCAAGACAAATGGAACATGTCCTGGAGGATGTGCAGCAGGGTGGATCAACGACAGGTGTAATCAGCGTGAGTAAACTACAGTTATAACATGCACTAATTAGATGATGATAAAGTCTTTCGCATGTCTTTTAAAACTACAACCACGGAATGCAACTGCAATTATTACATGCAGTAATAAGATAATGTTGGCTTCTGTTTCGTATGTATCACAATTCAGTATAGTACTGGAAACGTATTTAAACTGCATTGTTTCGTCGTATATGATGCCAAGGAGATTATGTGATTGAAACCGTGAGGGTATTCGCAACAGAGACAATTCAGCATTCAAGACGAGTTTAAGATGATGTAAATATTTCAGAGCAGGAGAGGGTTACTGAAACAAAAATAGGATACTCAGAAAATGAGTTTGAAATATTGCTTACAAATGACCAATTGGAATTGTGATGGAATACATAGTGAAAAATAGATGCCTAAATGCATGTTTGATGATCAAAAGAGAGATCATTAGTAGGAAGGTCTAAGGTGTGGAAATTGGAGTTGTCTGATTGAAGATTATTGAGATTTGACTTTATCGTTTATCTTCAAAGTATATTTCCAGTTTGCATAAACAAGGCTTCAACAATCATCAAATTGACGGGGGTGTTGGGTTAGCGTAATGGTTAAAACGTTCGCTCGTCACGATCGATTCACCACGTGTGTACAATGTGTGGAGTCCATTTATGGTGTCACCGTGATATTGCTGGACTATTTCTAAAGTGACGTAAAACCCAACTCATGCATTCACGCACTCACTCACTCATATGCATACACATATACATAAGATTACAAGCATGTCATTGTGTTCTTGTCACGAGCCGTGGGCAATATGATTTTCTAAAAATACATTTTGAACAATATGCTTTGTAAACAGATAAATGTTTTATTATTGGTAAGTTTACATTATCAACTAAGATTGCTCAGTTCTGTATCCTCAAAGAGGGTTAAAGTACTATCAAATTATTGTCCTCCTGAGAGGGTACGTAAGTCCCAAAACATTTAAAGTAAATTTAAACTTAGCAGGATATTTTAAACGTAGTATTTTTGTGATTTTAATTTTGGTTACAATTTCCTACAATCGCCAGCGGCTAAAGGGATGGCGTAAACCCAACCAGGGTCCATGCAGGTAGCAAAGGTACTCTATGTCCCCATGGGCCTTAGTATGGTGATCTACCTTCAGTTGTTTAATTCGAACTGTGATATTCTAGTTGTTTTGCTGTCCTTTGACGACAGGTTTTCTAACATCTACATATACTTTACAATCGTCAAAATTATTCTCATCACGATCTGGCTAAAACATTGCCGATGTGACGTTAAATATTAACTCATTCACTCACTCAAATGGACAATATGCCTCCAATTTCGTTTGATAATGCAATGTCTCGCGCTCACAAATTAGACATTGTGTAAACTGAATCACTTAAGCTTACAATCACTGACACGTGCACATATTACTGTCTGCAGAATGCCCAGAAGGACGTTATGGTGCCAATTGTCCGTCTCCGTGTGGTCACTGCCTTGACACTGATGTGTGTGACAAGGTGACAGGGAAATGTCCTAGAGGATGTCAGCCAGGATGGTTGCCAGATCTTTGTTCAAATGGTAGGTATTAAATCTTCACTTGTTTCCATATACGTGAAACACGTTTTGTGTCTTTTTGTTGATGGTTGATCATATATTTACAGCTTGCAGTGATGGTCGCCATGGACACCACTGTCAGTCTGAGTGTGGCCAATGTAAAGGAAACCTTCCTGTAACACGATCAATGGAAAATGCGATCAAAGATGTCAGCCAGGGTTTCAAGAACCCTATTGTAAAGGTGGGATAAACTTTTATTGTGACAGAAGTTATAATTTTACTGTGTTATTGTATGATAAACACTCTTTTTACCCCTGACCCCTTTGCTAACGCAACCTTGCCATAGGAGTTAGGTGCACAGATGAAAATTTCTACTCCCCAGAATGCGTTGATGGTATGTACGGTGATGACTGCATGTCACGATGTGGACTGTGTAAAGACGCCCTATACCTGTAATAAGTCCACTGGAGAATGTCCTGAAGGATGTCAGGGTAACCTAATGAAGCCCCTGTGTCAAGGTAGGACACTGACAGAAAATGAACTACAGTGAATTAAACGTGTTTTCGCATAATTTAGAAACGATTATTCGGCTAATTTGATAACAAAATAATTATTATAACATCTCTCGGTATATGTGTTTTACTACTCATGAAGGGTAACTTTGTAAGACATATGAATAGAGCTGCATAATATTTAACGGAAAATGGACTACATACATGCGTTCTGAAACTAGGCTGTACAGAGTGTTCGGCAACATCAGGATCCTCAGACCAGGGAGTGGCAGTTGCAGCAACACTTGGGACACTTCTCGCCTTGACAGCCATCGCTCTGTTGGCAGCCATCATATACATTTATAAGAAAAGAAAAGGTAAAGATAATGTGTGGAGTGAATGAGCGAGTAACATCGGAAAGTATTTCAGCCATACCGCGACTACAAACGTTTTGCATACGCATTAAATACATATTCTTATTATAAAATACAGTCACCAAACGACTGTAAAATAACTAGACTCTCACAGATGTTTAAAACCTAGTATGAAACCATCAAATATATCATCATATGACAGTACAATTAAATCACCAGAGCTAAAGGGAGATCACCATACTACGGACCAGTACTTTTGCTACCTGCACGAACCCCAGTAGGATTTACATCAGCCCAACAGCAGCTGGCGATTATCAGCAAATTTAGCCAAACTTAAAACAACAAGCATTCTGCGATTGAAACCCAGGCAATGAGAAACTTACTTTGAATGATGTGGTCTTACATTTTTTTCTAAGGAGGACAATTATTATACACAACTTCAAACCCCTGTGAGGATACAGCCACAAACGATGATAGGTATGTGGCCATTCAGCCAAATTTAAAATAACATCATTACAGGACTGAATGTAAATTTATCTAGAGAGAGAGAGAATCCAGAGAGAGAGAGAGAGAGAGAGAGAGAGAGAGAGAGAGAGAGAGAGACGTGCTGCCTTGGCAGCAGCCATCGTATTACCAGTAATTCCTACGTGTCTAGGTAACCGACAGAGAGGCGATGTTGTAGTGGTCAGTAGCACGATCATGATATAATTAAATAAATTTAATTAAAAGTGGATGTTGGCAGGAAAGATTTTTATGACCTAATAGAGAGTCAGAAAATATACTGAACCACAAAAGAAATGTCGCACTGAGAGCGGTTTCTTAAAGTACACACTTTAATTAACTCTAATTAACAATCAAACCGGAAGACTGAGTTCAAACTTGACAATTATGGTTAACACATTTTCAGGAATCACATTTAGAGTTCACACAAAGAAAATCACCAAAAATGGTACCATTAAGGTACCCCAAAGTCAGTATCGTGTGGGGCCTCCATGGGCATCGATGAAAGCGTTGCATCGTCTGTACATGGAATGAATTAGTCGGTTGATATGCCATAGGCACTTGGGTCAATACTCTGCGAAATGCCTGGTCGAGTCCAGTCGCATTTGTCGGCCTTGGTTGGAAGCCATTCAGTCTTCTTTGAATCTCGTCCCAAAGGTGTTCTTTTGAACATAAATCCGGAATGAGTGCAGGCTATTGTAAGGTTTGGATGCCTTGTCTTAGGAAGTCCAATGTTGCTCTGGCAGTGTGGGCACGGCCGTTGTCTTGCTGGAAGACGTGATTTCTGTAACGTCCAAAATGGGGTACAACGTGGGGTCTTATGACTTAATGAATATAGCGAGCAGCTGTCACGTCATTTCCTCATCCTGGACCAAGATTCTGGAACACCACGGTGTCAACTAACTGGTTCAGACCGATTGCACCCCACACTTAGATGCTTGGACTACCCCATGAGTCTCTTTCAAGAATACACTCATTGGAAAACAGTTCACCACGCCTTCGCTATCCTCTCACCCTGCCATCGACTGTCGAAACACAGTATTGGCTTTCATGAGATAAACACACAGTTCTTCATTGTCGTTAACGCCAATTTCGATGCTGTGTTGTCCATAACAGTCGGTTCTGGCGATTATGGGCAGTGAGGACAGGACTACGATGGGGTCTGTGACAGCAGAGGCTTCTTCCACACAAACGTCGACGCACTGTATCGGCACTGATGGGTCTGTTGTGAGTCCCAATGGTCTGGCGTGCTGTTTCCGTCGCTCTGGGGAAGCGATCCTGCAGATGGTGGCGCAGAATCTGTCGGTTTTGACGATGCGATGTTACTGAATGTCGCCCACAGCCTGGATGGTCTTGGATGCTGTTAGTGACCTGATACCACTCCTGCAGTCGATAGATTGTCCTAACATGAACATTAAAATGATTGGCTACCCTCCGTGCAGTCTGGACAACTTCCAATCGTCCCAAGGCTTGGTTCCTCCCATCTCTCGTAAGTCGTGGCATGGTGATTGTGTCAAAGCAAAAACCTTTTACCATGATTCCAGGCGAGTTTACCATGTCTTTGTCATTTTCTGAGACCTCCGTTTACAATCATGTGTGGCCTCCTGAGAGTAGAGTTGTACGTGAGTCCCAAAACTTTGTCCTCCTGAGAGGGTACGTGAGTCCCCAAACTTTCAAGGTCAATTTCCCTCTAACCGAACTTTTAATCGTAGCAAATTCGATATTTTAAATTATGGCTTAACTTTCCTATAATCGCCAGCGGCTGAAGGGATGGTGTAAATCCAACTAGGGTCCATGCAGGTAGCAAAAGCAATGTAAGTCCCCTTATGGTCCCTGGTATGGTGATCTACCTTCAGTTGTTGGCGATCTATAGCCCATTTTTATACTGTATTGTCCTAATTTAAAAACCAATGTTAGAGAGAGATGCCAGTTTAATTTCTTGATACTGTGATATTCAAGTTGGTTTTAACTGTCCTTCGATGAATGGTTTTTATAATTTACATGTATTTATGGTGATTTCTAAATTTGTTTTAGTCACGATATGGCTGAAATATTGCCGATGTGACTTTAAATTTTAACTCACTCACTCACTCATTTTACCATGTCTGCCTTTTTCGGTGCGTTTAGTCGATATGCTTTTTCATTAGAAAACACACTGATGTTGTTAATGACTGTCAATTTGGATTGAAACACATGTTAACAAAACGGTAAAATCATAAAACAAACACCACCTTGCAAAAACATAATTTTGCATTTGGTTTTGAAAGCGACGTTTCGTTTGTGGTTCAGTATATATTAATGTAATGTATTTTTCGAATATTTGACTTAGTTTGAACATGTACGAATTATTATGTACAGTTGGCGATACGTGTAAAACGAGGGGCTCTTGGAGAATCACGGAGGCCCATGTGAACAACCTATACTGATATTAAGTAAGATTGACGTTTTCTGCAGAATATACCCCATATGCATTCTCAAATAATTGAGCTCATTAGAGAGAGTTAATAAATATAAAAATAATTACTATAACTAGCTTATTGTTGTATATTGCAGAGTAAAGAGTTAACCGGATTACTGACAAGACAACTCGAAAACAACTACACATACTAGACAAGAGGACCAAGGATCCAGTTGTGGATAACACATGAACACACTGAAAATATCACTGCTTAAATTAATACGATGGAAGTCCCTTAGGGTCGAATTTAAACTTATCAAAAGGAGTAACACGGAATTATATAGAGCAGGCTCTTGTTAAGTAAATTGTTCCGAGCGGGAGTTTTTCACTTTAATATTTAGTCACTAATTACTACGCAACACAAGCAAGACGTCTTCTGGGATGAAATATAGAAAATGATCACCATAACAATTCTGTTGTAAAAACGATACATGGTCCTATATAAAACGTACTCGGTACTATTTAAATTCATATCAACTTCAATCAGTAAAGTTCTCTCTTCCAACCCACATCACATGGCTTGACGTATAGTTCACATTAATGCATGTAGCCACGTCTTGCCATTGGATTGGTGAAGAAGGAAATTTCTTAAGAAAACTTTTTTTCCACTTTCTTGACGTCCACCGCTAGTGTTACTTGAACCTCTGACGTTGGTGTTGTATCATCAGGATTGGTGGTCTTGCAGGGAGCCTTGCACGGATGCAGTAGATGCGCTGCCATCGTCGGACTATCTTCGTAGATACGGATAGTACGGTGCTGTCTGGAACGTTCGTAGACGATACGAATCTATGTATTGCCGAATGGTTGTCACGCGTGTGCAGACGCTATGGGGCCTTTTTTGACAAGGTTGTTGAGTTGATACTATCGTGATAAGTGCAAGGGGGTCACGTTGATTACCCTTAAAGTTGAATTGACGTTCAACGCCTTTCACTGAGGCCAGGCCCCAATTTCCATTATTCCTTTCGCTCGCCCTCAGTCATTTCCAGTTTGGTGGGGCATGGTGAAGTGTAACCAAAATTATGCTTTCTCATCTTACCACTTTCGAATACAGTTTATATACATATGACAAAAAGTAAAAGTATGTTATCACAAACCATAGCGTGGGAGCTCATTGAAACTTCAATTTAACTTATTATCCGGTTAAACAGTCTATTAAAAGCTGTTTGGTGGTAACATGTGCTGCGACACTTTGCCCCAATGTGTATATTAAAGAATAGCCTACAGCCTCGTGTAAATATTATTTGAAACATATTGCATATTGGTTGGCGTTGAAGCGTTTCCTGGTTCCCGTGAAAATGTAAATTTAATTGCCAGCATGGGTGCATTGATCTCAGCGGAGGTTAATATAGGATGTTTCTCAGAATTTGAGGATGACGATATTGTCGTCAACTTTGTAAGAACGGTAAATTAGATGGTTAAATGCACTTTATGAGACATGGTTAATCTATCAAAGAAATATTAGGCAGAAATACATAACTGAAACATTAGGCTAAAACTATCAGTGAGACATAATATCACTAATGACTTCTAATAACGATGTTATGATAAAGAATGTAGCCTATTATAAATATCATGCAACGGTATTAAGGATGTATGTTAACACTTATGCGCATCATGTGATCTTGTCTATGTAAATATTCCCGTACAACATTTGTTATGGGTCGGTGGCCCAATAGCAAATAGACAATATTGAATTGAAACTGGGTGCATTGTGTGAAGTCAATTCGACGTTTTTCTCGATATCACATAAGGGTTGAACAGTGCACAAAACTATGAACCTTTAACAATATGTCTCTACTGAAACATCCATCAATGATGTCTAAATTAAGCACAACGCTCCTATACTTTTTCATGTGTGGAGGTTTTAGACATACACACATGTACATATGTCATTGAAAACGTTTTAATAAATTCAAAGATACCACCAAGAGGTGTTAGTACAAAACCGTAGTATGTTTTGATAGAAGGTAACATGTTCGGCGGCATAGCTTAAGAAATTAAGCTAAAAAAAACCGCAAAATCGGTACTGTCACCTTATCTTGAT